TTTTAAGCCACCGGGTCCGGGACACGAACCGTGGTCGACTACGTGGGAGTCCAGCGACATAGCCATTACGCTAACTGCTGGTTCCCAATCAGTTGCCATTTTCATGTTAGTTTATAAGAACTCAGAATATTGTCTCTAAGATAGCTACTGCTAGCTAGCTACACTGAAAAAGTGTGGGTAAAAAATCCTGTGTTTTTTAGGAGTCTGACTGGAAGGATAGCTCTTATGCTTTGTTTATTAAACTAAAGGAAGAAGCAGTATGCCTTGGGTTTGAGTCTTGACTTTCTTGTTACCTAGGTGGATGATGTTAGGAAAGTTAGCTTCTCTGAGCCTTAGTTTTCTCATCTGTGAAAAGGGTTTGTTTTGATGCGTAAAGGAGAAAATCTCTGTAAATGATTTAGCATGGTATCTATCTAGTACTTACGTTCTCCATATGAAAATGTTGATGAATGGTTTTCAGAATCTTGACTATATGTGTTTTTTCCTCTTTTAGCCAAATGATTTCTCAGTATCACTAAAAGCACAGGGGAAAAACAAGCATTTTAAAGTCCAACTAAAAGAGACTGTCTACTGCATTGGGCAGCGTAAATTCAGCACGATGGAAGAACTTGTAGAACATTACAAAAAGGCACCAATTTTTACAAGTGAACAAGGAGAAAAATTATATCTTGTCAAGCATTTATCATGATACTGCTGGCCAGAAGTGACTACAACACAGCTTTAATCCGCCATGTAATTGAAGACTGAGAAGGTGTTGGTCCAATTGTGCATGGTTGGAAATTGTTTCTAACTCTATACAAGCATTGACTATAATACATACGTATTTTTATTATAACTCAGCCCATACATATATACTACGTATGCAATGCATCTGCATAGAACAGTTTCTTATTTTTGGTCTCCTATTTTATTGTTTTCCTCTTTGCTGTTTTTCTCTTTGCTTCTAATATTAAAGTTTTGTATTTCGAAAAGAAAATCAAATAATGCAAATCAGAAGTCCTTGTATGGAAGAATGTCTTATTGCCTTTCCTTATTTCCTTGCAAAGGCATACTGTTAGTTCTGCCATGGTTTCTTTTCATATAAAATTATTATATCTATATATGGCATATGCTAAAATAAATTTCTTGGAAAGTGTTAATCTTTTCTGTGACTAAATAGCAATAATAAATGAAAATTAGGCATTATTTTAAGGTATTATATTTGTCACAAGCCATTGTAAATACCAAGTATGTTGTTGTGTCTGTCATTATTTTAAAATTCATTGATTATCTTCGATGTGCAACAAAACAGATGGGACACAGGTTAGAAAACATCTTGTATGATTTTAATTTGCAGCTGTTGGAAACAAAAAACAAATCACTAAATCATTAAGAATTTTTTTTTGTTTATCTGTTTACTCACGAGAACAAAGCAGTCTCAGATACTTAGTCTTAAAACTAGATGGTTTTAAAACTAAATGGATACTGGGGAACCAGCAGTTAGCGTAATGGCTATGTCACTGGACTCCCACGTAGTCGACCGCGGTTCATGTCCCGGACCCGGTGGCTTAAAACTCACACCGGGCGCGTGTGCGTGCGTGCCCAAGATCCCGAGAGGAGAATGGAGGAGAAGGGATTGCGGCGTGACCATCCCCCCCTGGGGGGTGATTTCTCGCTTTCTGTCTCTATGTCTCTCTCTGTCTGTCTGGCGAGCGCACGCGCCCTACAGTGAAAATCTCTCAAAAAAAAAAAAAAAAAAAAGAAAGAAACAAATGGATCCTCTAATATAATTTTTCTTCCTGGTATTATTTTACCAAAACATCTTGGAACTAGGATATATTCTATTTATACCGGCGTGAAGTAAGTTATGGCTAAGTTTTGAGGACATAGGAGGCAATGAGGTACTTGAATTTTTTTCTCCATAAACATCTGTAATTGTCAGGGATATTATTTTCTATTTTCATTTCTTCCTTTCAGTTTTGGGTTTGATTGACTGAGACACTAAAGTTGATACATACCTGAGGGGAGAGTGCAATGTGCTCATAGTGACAGAAAATTATTTCCAAAAGCTTATTTTTTGTTTATCAAGTAGGAGTTGAGTATATGCATGAGAGGCTACTGTATTGAGTCTACTTCTCCAGACCACAGAAGAAAATCAGATGTGTTTTATAGTCACAGCTTCCTCCCCATGATTAATTCTGGAGATTAAATTTAAGCAAAGTAACCATCAACATTTTAACCAAAAATACTTATTAAAGCCACATAACTTAGTAAACAGTAGAAAGTCATATGATAGTTTCAAAAATTTCCCCAGTTCTGCCTAAGCATTTCAGTGTTTCCATGGTTTGCTGTGTTATAAACAGACATTTAATACATCAGAAGTACTGTTGGTAAAATCGAAGTTGTGTAACTTATGAGTTCTTTTTTTTACTTCATTATTTTATTAAAAATTTATTATTATTATTTAAATCTTAAAATTTAGGTTGCCGCTGGGTGGCAGCCCTGACTTCTCCCAGCAAACCACAGAAGTCAGCAAATACGATAAAGACATGATGTACATGTTTTCATTTTTTTTGCATCTACTTTTCAGTCCTTTTTGTTCATATGTCTGTATCTTTCTAGCTCAGTGCTGAAAGAATCTTTATTAAAGTAATTATTAGTAGGTAAGTTTAATGGGCATAAAAGTCATATATACTTCTTTTACTGTAAAAACACATGAATGTAAACGGAGGAAAATAGTTTTAAAGTGGTAGAATGAGTAGGTAGTAAATACCTTTTTGTTCTCTCATTGTGTTTTTTTCCCACTTGTCTTCCTTATGGGAAAAATAATGTGATGTTTGTAAAAAAGGAGCTATTGATACCTTGTATCACAGACATGAGCTATTTATGGCAAACCCCACTGAGCTGATACTAATAGAGCAGAATGGAGAAGGTGGGTAGGAGTGGAGTAGCACTGGTGGCAAAACGAGTATTTCCGTGCCATAATTAGATTTATTATAGCGATAGAATTTCCAGATAAGCCATGTTGTGTGTTCTTACTAAGGATGAAAACCTTGTTGGAAACCATTATTTTATACTTTACTATCTTACCAGTTTTTATAAGCATGCATTTTTCTTTTTTTAGAGGTTTTTGCTATAGGGTGCATATGCTCCCCAGAAAGAGACAGCGAGAAATCACCCCCCAGGGGGGATGGCCACGCTGCAATCCCTTCTTCGTTCTCCTTTCGGGATTCTGGGCATGCACGCACACGCCCCTGACATGAGTTTAAGGCACTGGGTCTGGGACTCGAACCACGGTCGACTACATGGTAGTCCAGCGACATAGCCATTACACCACCTGCAGGTCCCTATAAGCCTGCATTTTACTTAAGAACTGAAACAACTGTAGAAATTATCTTCATAGCTAGGTGGGAGCCAGGTTTCCTTGTTCAACATTTTCTCCTACATATAAGAGTTTTAGCTATACAATTTAAATACATTAACACACGTAATCCTCCCAACCTACTTCTATAAATAACTTCTCCAAAATCTTGGAAGAAAGCTCTTTAGAAAATTATATAAGCTTAAAAAGAAAAACTGCTTCTGCAGTATCCCCTTTTTTGGATATAAATCCTTAGGTTTATTGAATATATATTCACAATGTATATTATACTTATATATAGCACTATACACAGTTAACACATTAACCTAGCATGATTAAAGACCGTTTCACATGCGTATCAGTAAACAAAAACGGGAAGGCTGATGTGGTACATTGCCATAGCTCAAAGGATAAAAAAGCTGAGCAGCCAAACAACTTGGATTGTTGGAATCAGGTCATCTGTGGGGACCAGCAGTTGGTGTAATGGCTATGTCGTTGGACTCCCATGTAGTTGACCACGTTTTGAGTCCTGGACCCGGTGGCTTAAACTCAACGCTGGGTGCATGTGCGTGTGTGCCCAAGATCCCAAGAGGAGAATGGAGGAGAAGGGATTGCAGCCTGGCCATCCCCTTGGGGGGTGATTTCTCGCTTTCTGTCTCTTTCTGGTGAGCGCACGTGCCCTATAGCAAAAACCTCTCCAAAAAAAAACCCAACAGGTCATCTTTGTACATACATGGTGTGTAAATCACCTCCACCTGTAATGCTCTACCATTTAATCCAGAGGTTGCAAAAAGGCAGGACACCATTGTCTATATAGTACATTTGTGACAATTAGAGAAAGGCACCTTTTTCCTCTGGGCAGGTCCAGCCCCTTTCCTTGTCCAGATTTTACGTGTGTCTCTCAATTGGATGCCTCACTTAGACAGGAATACTGTTTAACCCATAACACAAGCTTAAAGAAACTTGGGGGATTTTTGTAAAATTCAGAGTCTGGTTGAATTCCCACAAGTCAACAATGAATGGTCCCCTTATTTTTACCAGTGACCATGGTAAAAAATAAAATGCAAACTGTGTAATTAAGTCTGCCAGCCTTTATCCCCTAGTCATATTTCCAAGTGCACTTACTGTTACTCTCTAGTTTACCTATATATAACATGGAGAGCTTTTGGGTTGATACTGGAAATTACGTTTTTGTTTTTTTTTTTTTTTGGGGGGGTTTTTTTTTGTTATAGGGGCGGTGGCCTCGCCAAGGCACCTTTTTCCTCTGGGCAGGTCCAGCCCCTTTCCTTGTCCAGATTTTACGTGTGTCTCTCAATTGGATGCCTCACTTAGACAGGAATACTGTTTAACCCATAACACAAGCTTAAAGAAACTTGGGGGATTTTTGTAAAATTCAGAGTCTGGTTGAATTCCCACAAGTCAACAATGAATGGTCCCCTTATTTTTACCAGTGACCATGGTAAAAAATAAAATGCAAACTGTGTAATTAAGTCTGCCAGCCTTTATCCCCTAGTCATATTTCCAAGTGCACTTACTGTTACTCTCTAGTTTACCTATATATAACATGGAGAGCTTTTGGGTTGATACTGGAAATTACGTTTTTGTTTTTTTTTTTTTTGGAGAGGTTTTTTTTTGCTATAGGGCGCGTGCGCTCGCCAGACAGAGACAGAAAGTGAGAAATCACCCCTCAGGGAGGATGGCCACGCCGCAATCCCTTCTCCTCTCAGAATCTTGGGCATGCATGCACACGCGCCCAGCGTGAGTTTTAACACTGGGTCCAGGATGCGAACCGCGGTTGACTACATGGGAGTCCAGCAACATAGCCATTACGCTAATTGCTGGTCCCCTGGAAATTACAATTTTTCAGAAACACTTCAGCTGCATCGTCCAAATAGTAAATTAGGAGAATAGCATTGCAGCACGCTTTAACTTTTCCTGTCTTAACACTTTGCCAGAAAATGTGACAAAGGACTTTGTGTCCTTTGTAAACTTGTATTTATATAGCTCTTTTAACTGCTTGTAGATGGCTTCATGACTGTCTTCCCTTATTCCTTAAAGGACATTTGATATAGGATAGATGATATTCTCATATTAAGTCAGGGAGGGATTATTGGTTTGCTTTTCTCTTCTGATAAGCTGGTTCTGTTGTAGAGTAGCAAGTGTAGGTGCCTCGACTCTATCATCTTCTAAGCACCTCTCAGACCAATATATATGCTATGTAATATGCATGCTCCACACTCCGGTTTCTTGCTGTTACAAACCCGAGTGACTGAGAAACTGCAATGTGTGTTTCTAGTTTACTCACGAGGTGTTCTTTTGATCTGAAAGCGCAGTTTGCTGAGTCCCATTTAATGAGTAGAACCTAAACTGGGTTTGGAGGGGTTTTGACCAGCAAGAGGAGTTTTAGTTATGATCCGTATTCACAGGGAACATGTTTTAAACCAGAGTATTTTCTTGGAAATGTTTGCCATTCAGAGCACTTTCATGAAAGCTGGTATTTCAGAACTGGCCAGATGCCTAGGATGGCTCATCACAAACACTTTAAAGTTACCTGCTGAGCCGGCTGATTGTTAAATGTGGACGCTCAAATTACTTAACCTGTTCTTAAAGCACAAGAGAAAGCTCCTCTCAGTATGGTGGAGTTATGTTGCAAATTTTAATTGTAACTACATAATATAACACCCAGTTTCATCTCACCATGTTTTCTTACACCTCATAGAACAATACTGGCTTTCAAAGAGGAAAACAGACAGTTGAGACTTCAACGGTAGTTTTAGGGTATTGAGTTGCTCAAAATTTCTGGG